GTGTGGAATCTGGAAGATCGGTTTGTCAGTCATAGTCAAGTTACGGCCGTGAAGTATTCACGATAGACCGTGTTGTCAGCGAAACCACGTGGGTCGCGCAAGTACGCGATCTGATTGAACAATTCGAACAAGGTACACCCCAATTCCGACTTGACCTTTGGCGTGCCTTGTTCGGGACACAGTCCTTCCAGAACTTCTTCCACCCACATAAGGAGCGATCGTGGTGCTACCCCCTTGTTAGTTCGCTGGATATTGTCATCGACAGAGCAATGAGCAAGAGCTATGTCGCTGTCCAATCTGAAGACATAAAAGCTACGATCAAGGCTGGCATTACGGAGATTGTTGATCGCGGAGATGGCAAGCAATGGATTGATGCGGATAAGGGCCTCTTTGAATATCCGTATACGACTTTGGTCGTCGTATTCCAACGGAAGTGAGACTGCAAAGAAAGAGGATGGGATAGGAAGCGTGTCGTTATATAACCTGTCCTGAGCAATTTTTCTAAATTCAATCTCCTATATTATAAACGGCGTGGATGAGACAAATCGAGCCGATTAGTTAGACAATAATCTATCTTTCATATTGCTCTATTAAGGTGCACGGGTAATTTCCCTTCATTATGGTCAAGCCTCGATAGCGTATTTTACTTTGATTTCCGAGACTAGCGGTAGTAATCAGTTATTAATAGCGTGTTAATAACCAGTTAATAACCTGTTAGCAATAGCAATGGACTGTAGATTTTGGCGTGTTAATAATTGTTATAAATCCAAGTTACTGTAAGGTGTGGGTGCGGATCCACGCTCGAACACAACTGCGATCGCGTTTATCTTCGCTTCACGATGCCCGTCCCGTCAACGCGTCAACGCGTCAACCTCCGACACAAGACAGCCGAGCAAATCGAAGCCCTTCCGCCACAGCTTCCTACTCATGCCCCTCTCCCTAACTTCGCATGAATTACAGTACACCCCATTTTTGACCTCCCGACCACTACTATTGGTTCCAATGGGTCTGAATTTGCACAAAGAAGCTGAATTCGATTTTTGTATTTTTTTAAAAATCCTTCCAACACTTTCGGAGTCTTCGGGATACAGTTATATTGTAACTCTGAATGTCCTATAAAATAAGCTAAGAGATCCTACCACGAGAAGCAATTGCCGGAGGGTAACCGATGTGGTAAATTTGCGTCCATCAGTCCATGGTAGATATGTCGGACTCACAACCTCAAATCACATCCCGAAGACTCAAAAAAATTCATGGGGCATGGGATAGCATCTATACTTGCAGTTACACACTTCACTTGCATTTCCGGGAAGATTTTAGTGAGGGATTGAGTAGCATTTGTGCATTTTGTCACGGAATTGTCACACTAAAGTGACTAAGGGCCCGTACAGCAACTCCGGTTTCAAAATCGGAGCCTGCCAAATTGCAAGGTCCAGTTTCGAAATCACCCGGTTTGCCGAAATTGAACTTTGGCGAAATTGGAGAGGCTGTTCCGTAACTGCCCGGTTTCAAAACCGACACTTGTCACGTCTGTCGCGTCATTCTGCTCGGTTTTCACTCTCGTGTCGCGTTGTGTTGAATCGTGTCTCCCTTCCACTCTTTCCTTCTTCTTCTTTTCATTATTATAATCAATGACATCAAGCCCATAGATTTGTGTAGTTTTAAACAACTTCATGGAGGCAGAATTGAAAATTTTAATGATTGAGGTGACTTACTAGACACTTCATGTCAGATAGCCCATATCGATGCGTCAGAATATAAGTATGCATGAGGTTAGTCTGACCCAACGCTGAGTGGCTCAGTGGTTAGAGCACATGGTATATATTTTGGAGCAGTGGGGGGACCTGGGTTCAATCCTGACCATCATCATTTTTGTTTCAATGGGGAATGAATGTGACACAATGTGACCCTAGTGCCACCGCCTATTTCGCGTCCCCAGTTTCGAAATCGCCCGATTTCAAAAACCGCCGGTTTTGAAACCGAAGTTGCTGTACGGGGCCTAAACTCAAAGCGCTCAAAGCTCAATGCGCTTGATGTGTTTGTCACGCTCTCTGAAATGTTGTCTACTACACTTTCAGATCTTCCTGGAAATACAAGCAAAGTGTATGCCTGCATGTATAAGTGCTATCCCATGCCCCATGATTTTTTTCGAGTCTTCGGGATGTAATTTGACGTTGTGAGTCCAACATATGTACCATGAATGCCAATTTACCACACTGGCTACCCTCTGGCAATTGCTTCTCGTGGTAGGATCTCTTAGCTTATTTTATAGGACATTCGATGTCACAATGTGACTGTATCCCGAAGACTCCGAAAGTGTTGGGAGGATTTAAAAAATTTACAAAAATCGAATTCAGCTTCCATGTGCAAATTCAGACCCATTGGAACCAATAGTAATTGGAAATGCTGACAAATAATCGGGAGAGCTATCTTGCTGACACATAAATATCTTATCTCATCCAAAAGCGGTGTTCAAATTGCGCAAACCCCCGGGCGCAGCCCGGGACCGTGAGCACGCCTAGTATGATTATATACACGGTCGGCCACGAAGGTTGAAAGGAGAGGGTCAGGTAACGCCGGATAAAGGATAAAGGGGCAGAGAAAAATTAAATATAGGTAGATTGATACACTTATGAAGGAGAGCATAAAAACCCAAAAAAAAGAGTATTATGAGACCCAAACTAATGCGGTGACAGCCAAGTTAGTTTGCTGCAGAGATAGAGAACCACAGGAACACGTACAGGCCAAGCTAATAACCAAATACAAGGTGATCAGCATAAGTCCTTCCATGTAATTGGATTTCCCATCTCTGTACCAAAGGCATAACGAAAGTGGTCAGCGGATCCAGTTGCGTGAGAGAGATATGAATACGCACTGGAGAAAAAGGTTGACAAGAACCACCGATACAAAAAAGGCGACAGTCTGTGAGTCACGTTCAGACAGACGTACTGGAAATGGGATATCAAACCAAAAAGAACGGGGCAGTGCTTACCTCGAAGTCGTCAAAGAAAAGGGTGAGTTCGTGCCCAGACCTGTGCAGACACGGGACAGGTCAGCAGACGGGATCTGGCTCCATTAGGCATGAGATTCTTACCACCAGCCAACAACCACGAGGAGTGGCACGACGAAGGTGGCGATTTGCTGACACAAAATCCGACGCGGATTAGCACACAGTCAGAAGGCTCAGAAGGTGGATGCTCCGTACGATCGAACTGCCCACGCAGATGCCGAGAGTAAGCTCCATTTTGTCCTTCATAGCCATCCACACCGAGGTAACGAATTCGGCTGCATTTGTCTGACAGATTGTGTCAAGTAAAGCTCTGATGGGTAATGTGGGCTATACTCACGACAAGGGGGAGAAGGACAAGACCGATGAATGACTTTGATATATTGTACCTATTTGCCGTCTCCTCGATCGATGCGACCACTAAACAAATTCGAGGGTCAGTCGTAGGTAGTTCCCGCCGCACATGATTACTCACACCAGTCCGCGACAAAAGATATGGTAATAGTAACAATCACAAGGCTACGGACCTCTGTTGAGCGAATAACCATGACGAGCAGTGGGAGTAACCTTACCCCAGTCCGCCAGCTGCTGTGCTCATCATTGGAGTCTCCTCCTCTTCTTCCAGCACATGAGCAGCTTCATCAGGCTCAGTCTCGTGTCTGTGTCTGTGAAGTGGTTTGAAAAGTGACGCATGTGTTTTGAGCTGGAAGATGAGATAGGCCGCATAGAGACCAAGCAGAAGTATGGCAGCGCCGCGGGAAATGTATTTAAGACCCCTTTGACCATCTTCGTCGAGTTCAGGGTATAACGCGGTATTGTGGCTATTCATTGCGACCACGCTGCCCCCCTTGACCGGGGACGTCATGTCCTTAGAGGCGTGATACGCTGCTGGGATCACAAGGGCTAATTCGCTTTATATTAGAGTTGAAGAATCCTCGGACTTATCAGGAAACGTACTGATGCATGCAAGAGTCATGAGTGAAGTGCTCCTGTGTATAGATTATATCAGTATGCAAAAACTGCCGCAAGAGGCGAAATACTAACGTTTGGGCAGCAGTCGCACGAAACTCGCTCTCATGCTTAACCATGCCAGCTGTAGGACGCGTCAAGTGAGCACGCGCGTTCATGGAACCGAAACTTCAACATACCGACAAAGAACGAGCAGCCCAAAACCAAAAGGATGTTTGATAAGATCGAACCGAGCATCTGTAAAAAAGGTAACCATGTATACGAGTGAGTGTGGTACGAAGAAAAGACTTCGGATCGGGTACATACGGAAGTCTGCACGATCCGAAGCTCGCCTTTCAATAGCGCGACGATCCCCACGATCATTTCAACTGCGTTGCCAAAAGTAGCGTTCAACAAGCCAGCAAGAGTTTGTCCAAGGGACAGCGACATCTGTGATGTAGCATCGCCGAGCAGCTGAGGAAGGAAAGATCCGTTAAAATCGCGCGAAAAATAGGTCATAGATGATTACGGGCTAGGAGTACTAGTACGCACTTTAGCTAGAGGAACGATCGCGATAAAACAGAATCCGAAACGTAGCGGTGCATCCCAGTTCAGACAATGAGAGGCTGCAGCTACGGGGACAAGGAGCAATAGGAGGTTCGCCCAGGAGCCGAAGATGAACCATCTGAAAGAGTCTAGCCAAGATGGTTCGTCTTCGGCCTTCAGGAGCGTAACAAGTTTTTGGTAGTAGGAGCGGGATTGTCGTGGTCTCCACTCGTCATTGAGGAGAGGGGACTGTTCTGAGGGTGACATGAGGTCAGAAATTAAAGGGATGGGAATGCGGATTATTGGGCCAACGTAGTCTTGGCAGGTTGCACATCCACCTCGCGCAAGAGGCGTGCAATATTCCCATACTGCAATTCAGCAAGTTTCATCGATAGCCAATCAAACATGCCGGCTTGCCGAGCTTGAGCCATCGTCGTGGGCTCGATTACATGATGTGACGGTCACAGGAACGCAAATGGGGCTCAACCTCAAACAAAAATGACGACACCGAGATTTGAACCCGGGTCCCCCCATTGCCCCAAAATATATGCCAGGTACTCTAACCACTGAGCTACTCAGCCTCGGGTCTGGCCGACATCAAGCGTACCCTATATTCTGATGCGCCAATCACCTAATTTAGAGCACCATTTCCAAATTTTGTGTATAAGTCATCTCAATCATTAAAATGTTCAAAATTTCCCCCATGAGGTCGTCTACATTAATATTGTAGAACTACACAATTCTATGGGCTCAAAATCCTTTATTTCGTTTATGTAGAAGACTTATAGCAATTTGTCACGAGATGTAACGCTTTGGTCATGTCGGCATGTTTGACAGCTGTCTAAACAAAGGGCACAAACAAGCGTTGGACCAAAGTCGTTTCGCCGAAGTCGGGAATCAGGATACCGAGCGAATCACACTGCAACGACACTGAAACCTTCCGTAAGATCACTGCAGAAATGTCAAAAGCGGGCTGGGCACCACAAACGATGATAGCCAAAATTTATCATACCGACTATAAACAACGCCAACGGAAGGACGACAAGACCAAGGTAGCGAAGCGAGATTGAAAACTGACAGGATCCAGAGGTGTATGGAGTTCATCACGGTCCTTCCGCTGGAGCCATGACAGATATCATAATCAAAACCCAAGGCGCTGGCACGACAGAGCCATGGCAGAATGCTCGCATCCATAAACGCTCAAGGATTTCACTACGATACCTGCCAGGATCAAGTGTCTGAGAGTTGATGGGAACCATTCATCGTGCAGAGACGGATGCCTTGCCGCTCCAGCACTGGCAGCCCATGGTACATCCAGCAGAGGGTGTGAGCTCCGAGTTGGGCCAGTGTCGGGCCAAGCCTTCAAGGTCTCGACGACTCAGGGTCATCAGGGAACTCCTACAGTAAGGGCCCGAAAAACATCAATGATATCATTCATACAGTAGTAATTCGAAACTCCGCAGTGTCCCGCGGATTGTTCTACAGCTCATCTAGTCACTACGCAAGGACCAATGTAATGTCCGGGCGTGGGTCTCGAGATGTCCTGGGCGTACGTGTGTACGACATTAAATATGATTGCACAACAGGCATCACTCGAAGCCAGCCGTTCGCAGCCTCATTAGAGAGACCCAAATAGTAGACATGGGCTCATGACGGCAGAATCCACGCACAGATGGCCATGTGGAGGGAAACGAGCCAGAAGAACAACGATCACCCGCATGGCCATAATGGGATAATTATCAAAATCCTTTCTAAACGTTAGACGGCATACACTACCAACTCGAATGCTGGGAAACGCACCATATTTGTTCCCCGCCTCCTTCCGATTTCTGCGTCCCTCTGCGATCTTCTCCTCCAGTACTTCTCGGTTCTGGTAGGCTTCCACAAGCAAGCTGGAGAGCTGGCCGCGTCTTCGAGCACCTTTGCTAACCTTGGAACCCTGCATCCCATTTAGTTTGTAAGACCCATAGCCTTAAAATGCGGTGACCGTACTTTGATATTCATCTTTGGTGCTGCTGGCTCTCCGCCTGCACCTCGTGTCAGAGCCTTCTTTTCCTCACGCTCTTGAACCTCTTTCTTCGCCTTCTCCATTTCGCGCAAAGCGTTGACCTCTTGTGTGTCATCGGCATCAGCATCCTCGAAACCTTTCTGTTTCTTCTCAAGTGCCCGCACTTCACGGTCGTAATCAGTCTTCCACCTATTGTAGAATTGTTGATAGTATTTGGGGTCGTATGCTTCCCAGGCACCAGAGGGAAGTTGGTAATAGCCAGGATAGGGATCGTTGGGTGTGGGGTCTGGCGGAGTGTACTCCTCAATTTTTGGGGCAGAGGATATGCTCAGCGAGCTAGTGATCCCCCTTTGGGTAGTTATAGAGGCGGAAGAAGACTTTGCGGAGCCTGGGGTGAAAATGTTTGACGTCGTAAATGGATAAGGAAGTGATAGGACACACTCAGCGAAAAGATGTCTGCTCCGCCTGTAGAAGATGGATCTGGAGCCTTCTCAGATGAAGGACCTTCAAGAGATACGTTGGGTTTGCCTTTCCGTACTGATAAAGGAGTAAAGGGTAAAGACAACGCGGATTGCTCCACCTCCGTTACTTCAGGGGAATCCTGCAAATCAACATTGGGTGATGTAACGGACGTGTCTTGAGTCCTCTGCAAGGGTGCGTCATTGAAAACGAGTCCAGGACCCTTCCCACTGCCAAGGATGCGCTCAGGGGGTGCCTTAACTGGAGCAGGCATTTTTGGAGCAGGAAGCTTGGAGAACAGGGCGGAGGAGCCAGTGCCGCGATTTTCCGTGCGTGGCTTCTTAGCAGGGCGAGCATCTTCAGTGTCATGGTCTGGTGAATTATCCTTTGGTAACGTAGGGAGGTCAATTGCAATCTTCTTGGGAGCCCTTTTGACTTTTGGGGTCGGAAGGTTGAGGCTGGATGACCCAGATGCTGACGAGTGAGTGGGAGGGAGTGAGAGAGAAGTAGAGTTGTTCCGTTGGAGAGGTGACCTTGAGCGAGAGGTATGCTCGTCACCGCCGTTATCGTCGCTGTCGCTCCCGTACGCGTCGACGAGCATGGCTGTTTAGCGTAACACGACCCGGCCCGGCGAGGAAGAAGCGCGCTCCACTGACCACTCACCGGCACACTCACGCGTCTCAAGCTAGTCGCGTTCATCATGGCCGCATTCGTCACAACTTCACCACCGCCAAGGAGGAAAAATAGGGCACCATCACGCCAAGCTGCGCTCGAACCCCCTCCTCGCCGCAGTGCGCGCATTGCAAGTAGCAAACCCGCTTCTAGACTTCCAACCCCCGCGCACGGTATAGAGCACCCATCATTCAAAGAGGATGTCTCTGTAGGAAGCATGGATGTCGATGGGGACACTCTTCAGCCAACAGAACGGGGTCTGAGACAAGATACCGTTTTTGCTGAGTCCGAGGAGATGTTAGTGACGTTCCATGGGCACTTGCCCGCCGAGGTCAAACATGTCCTCAAAAATGCTGGTGAGCGCTCGCCCTACTTCCCTTCCTGGTCCAAAATTCTTGTAGTACTTTGATATAGACTTCTTTCGGGACGCGTATGTGGGTGATGTCGACGCAAGTACTGGATTCGCACTCGTAGCGACACCCCAAGCATGTTTCGTATGGCAACATACGCAGGAGATTGTTGGGATACCCACTTGCTACATTTTCCCCTGCCCAGCGGACCCGTCTCAGGCTGCGCCGTTATATGCTTTTGTCCCATATGGCGGTTCGCGTGAGCCAGGGCTCATCCTTGCATCCCAGTCGGGGGAAGTCTGGTTTTGGAACAACATTGGTGTTGGTCTTGCAGGTGGCGAACAATACTCCAAGATTCTACTGGAGTTGCAATCTAACGAGATTGTTAACTCCTTGACGAGACTTGACGTGCGTTCTTCTCCTAGTACAGTCTTGATGTCCGCTCAAATTATTTCAGCCTCAAACCTTTGTTGCGTCAACCTCAGTTGGGCGCTTGTTTCGGTTGACGTTGTCTACTTCTGGAGGAAGGTACCATTTTACAGCTCGCCTTTTCTCGCGCACGCAATCCTCGCTATCGTTGTCCCGCTTCCTGCCTTCTCTTTGGTCTTCACAGGCATCGCAAGCAGAAGCTGGGAACATCGCCGCTATCGCTCTTGGCGCCAAAACGAATCTTGGGGTAGACATATGGGCACTTGTCGAATCCCGTGTCCAGAGGTGGCATGTTGCCGCTGAAGGCTGGGAAGAGCTCACTTTACAAGAGGACGTCGGTGTGGTTCTCCGTCAAGCCATTCAAGATACGCTTCGCGCACCGTCCACGTACCTGGATCTCGAATTACTTGACTTAGCGGTGGATAGGTTGGTGCCTCTTTCATTATCAGCGTCTCCGCCAAATAAATATCTTTATCAGCTCAGGAAAGCTACTCGTGCTAACGTCCCATGGCGACACCGGGGAACATGAGGATATGAATTACAATTCTACGCCCCGGAGGATCTATTATGTTGCGCAAATTTCGATGTCATCTGGTCTACTTCAAGTCCAAAAGCTCATCGGTGTTCCTTACCAGAGTGTTCGTTACATGCCCTTGGAATCACTCCTGTTCACTTACTCGATCATGAAAAGACTTTCAGATCTTCCGAGGCTCCGATGCATCCCCAACTTCGACTCATGCTCGGAGGTGCAATACTTGTGGTTCAGTTTGGTGATGCCATAGCCTTCTGCTCGCGAGGTCTGCAACCAAGTGTTCCAACTTTACCTGTTGGCCTGATTCTAATCCTTCATAGATAACGATTTCCAAGACCGCATAGAACTAAAGTCTTCTGCAGATCGTACACTGGGTGTCTGCGTTGCGGATGCGCAAAGCTGCATGCTTGTGCTCGCCGCTTCGACAATAATGAAAGTTACGCTTGACATTGACCAAATCGAGAAGTTCGATTCTGAGTAAGTGATCGTTCGTCTTTTTCAACACAGAAATTGACGTCCCGTTGGAGCCACGGGAGGAGCATCCTGATCAAATCCATCATGACCCAGGCTATTCTTTATGGCTCATACTCAGAAGTTCGTCTTTGGACCAGCTGTGGGGGTCGTTATGCGCTGACACTTCCCCAGAACCCTCTGCACTTTAGCTTCCCTCCCGAAATCGACGAAGAGAGTCTCATGTCCGGTGCATCGCGTCTGAGTAGCGCAATATTGGAATCGGGTAAGTGTCTCCTTCCCCCATTTCTTATTCAAGAGAGGCTCACGTAGCGTAGATACTGCGGTTATCCGACCAAATAACGACTTAACAGTACAAATTACCAGTCGCAAGGAGAAAATCAGCTTTTTGATCAAGTTCATCAACGAGAATGGCGTAATTGGTAAAGTTGGTGTTTTGATCGTTGTGGGCTCTGGATCCGTTTTAAGGACATTGCATAGATGTCCCAGCGTAGCCGCCAACGCCTCGCAACCGATGCGGAAAAACTTTACGCTGCTCAACAGCTATGGCTTCGTCTGAATGAAACCATTCTGTAGGTCAAACATTTCATTTTTAGATTCAGCTGCTAACAATGCCCTGCAGACAAGGGCGTCCCTACGACATCTTAAGTGAGGCTGTTT